TTAGGCTATCTCACTTTTCTATTTTGGAAAATATCTCCATTCCCATATCCTTTTAACATCTTTTACATTCCCATTTTCTTTTTTTAAAATAATTATGAGACATAATAGCATTAACAAATAAATTTGCTATCTGTTGTGAGACCTCTTTTCCTGGGGATGCTAAACAATGCTTATTCCCTTTCAAGGTTCTATTTTTTTTTATTTTATATGTGTGAGGGCCTGCATGTAGATATGTGCACCATGAATGTGCCCAGTATCTTGAAAGCCATAAGAAGGAGTTGGATCCTCTGGAACTGTAGGTACAGGTGGTTGTGTGCTGCCATGTGGGTACTGGGAATTGAACCCAGATTCTCTTCAAGAGCGGCAAGTGCTTCTAACCTCTAAGCCATCTCTTTGGCTCCACAACCTAACTCTTAACTATCATGACCACCATGTCTGCCTAAAAGACATAAATCAACATGAATGACTAAACTGATTAAATTTTTAGCATATATTTTTATTGAATTTTTGTGCATTTCATACATCTTAATCATATTTAGACCCATTCCCCTATCTGTACTCCCTCATAGTCCCTTCCCACCAGATTTCATGTATTCTGTCATATATGCTAAGGCCTATCAAGTCAAGTTGGTGTCCTCAGATGTCCCTTAGTGTGAGTTCTTCCACTGGAGCCTGGTCAGCCTATCTAGCAACACTCCCTTGAAGAAAACCAACTCTTCCTCACCTAGCAGTGATCAGCTGCCAATAGTTCCTTGGCTAAGGTTGGGGCTTCTTGCCCATTTCCCTAGTTCTATGCAGGGTTTTGTCTGGTTTAAGTTTGCATGGGTCTTATGCATGCTATCTTCATTGCTTCAAGTTCATATGAGCGAGTTCCCAAAAGCCTGGAAAACTCTGTTTCCTTGTGGTCATCCACTACTCCTGGCTCTTCCATTCTTTCCCCTCCCTCTTCTGCAATGGTCCCTGAGCCCTGGGTGACTGAGGTTTAATATAGGAGTCCTATATTAAAGGAGTCCTCCTAATATAAGGAGTCCTATCCAGAGACATACATTCTGTGGCCTCTTATTCTCTACATTTTGATCAGTTGTGTCTTTCTGTGTTAATCACCACCTGTTGTATGTGGAAGCTTTGCTGGCAAGAGTTGAGATGCATTAATATTCTCTCTGCCCCTGTTTCCTGAGCCTTAGGTATAGCGGTTGCCTTGTAGATGTTTCACTTAGGGCTGGGCATCTCACAAATACCCAGTCTCTGTGTTTGACCAGTTGTGGAACTCTGTAATAGTCCCCATCTGTTACAAAAAGAAGCTTCTTCAATGAGTGATGGCAGGTATACTTGTCTGTAAATATAAGGATGCATGTTTAACATACATTTATCTAGGGATGTGGCAGATGTAGTGTTTTCCCTAGGATCTATGAACTCTCTTGCCATGTGTATCTGACTATGCTCACAAGTACCACACATAAATTCCCTCCCATTGAGTCAGCTTTAACTCCAATTAGCTAGCTGTTGATTACCCCCTAGATAAAAGTGTCACTACTGCACCAATAGAGATAATTACTCTGTCAGTCATTGCTGTGGTTATTAGGCTTTAAAGCCAGGTAGGATCATTGATTGATTTTCTCCCTTAGCAGCTTACATAGTATCCTCTGAAACTATGGGAGCTAGTCTTCAGGGAGGTGGTTTCCAAGTCAGTTCCAGCTCCATTGTTCCAAGTTCTGTGTCTGAAGTATGTCCTGTTTTCAGCAGTAATGTCTTACCTTCAAATACTGGGAGTAAATCAAGGGCTGTGGCAATAGCCTATGTTATTTGGGAGTCACTTGGACTACCCTGACCAATAACTGGAAGGGCGGTTTCTCCTATCTGACACTGTGTTTCATGTTATGTGGCCTTCAGCTATATGCCTACACTCATGTATAGATATTGTATGTGTGTTTTTCAGTAGGCTTTTCAACTAATACATTTCTCTCTGGTTTTTCACACCGCCTAAGCATTGAAATTGATTTAATTTGTAACCCCATTCTTTAGTTACTGCCAACAAGGGAGACATCTAGTTCAGTGGAATCAAATGCTACCTGTGAAAGTGTATCAGAAGGCTCTATCAAAGTTTCTTGGGGCTGTAGCCTCTAACATGAAGTCCTTTCTGCAATGTGCAAGCAGTTGGAATGAAGACAAGGCTTATGGTTAAAATCTCAGACACACAGAAATTAGAAATTCAGTGTTGACCCCCAAACAGTATAGGTCTCCTAGATATTCCTAGCCTATGGGGGAGGGACTTATGATCAAAGCAGGCTGAGATGGAAATGATTATAGATGTCAAGATGACTTTCCCCTCTTCTTTTGGTTTGCTGTTAAGGAAATTCTGCCACAGCTGCCTGGACTTTCTCCTTCTCTGTGTTTATCTCATATGTCCCCATTGGATGTTCCCCTGTCTCAAATAGCTTCAAGTTACAAAGACACCAGAGAATTTGATCTTGCTGGTTATAAGTAATCTAGTAGTTGCTTCTAAATTGTAGGAATATTTTTAGATTTTGAAGTGAGGAGCACAGAATTGGTGCTTCAAAATATCCTAAAAAGTATTAAAGTAATATGAATAGGGTATGAATTAATAATATCTGAGTAGTGGGTCTATAATACACAATAAAATAGATGAAACTGGACTACTTTCCAGACTGACGTCATACCTGTTTTAAAATTTTAATTTCAAATAATTTGAAAGGTGATGTGCACAGTTAAGGTAAAACCTTGAATTTCTGTTACCTTCCTTGTCCAACTAGAACATCAGTAATGGGACTTTGGAGAATGTGTGACTATTGAGCACTTGAAATATGGTTCAGACAACTGAGGAACTGAACTATTGATTCAGTTTAAATTTAAATAGCCAGCTATGACTAGCTGGCACCACACCAATCTGCACAGATGTAGAATACGGTGATGACTCTCTATCAGGATAGTCTAGATTATGTTGAAGTCACAGAGTTCCTTAATATCATGGTGGTTGTAATTTATAAGAACCGAGGCCTGTTTCTTTCTGTGTTATGTGTCAGTCTGAGGTTGGCTGGAGACCCAGGTGGATAGAGCAAGCACCATCTAACGTGTTCGGTCATTATGAAGAGTCTTGCACCACTAGGTGCTTTTGCCCAGAGGGGATACACAGCGTACAACTCATTGAGCAGAACTTGTACACAGCCTCATCTAACCAAGAGGCTAGGCTGAGGTCCTCTGTGCCAGGAGGCAGAAAACCTCAGTAGCGACTGCCATAGATTTTACCTTCCCTGGCAAAATACAGAGAAAGGGGTCCCTGTGGACAAAGAAAGTAGTATCACTGTATGTCCTTGAAAAGACTTCTTCAGAATCCAATTGTCCAGTATTTCTTTGATACTTACCAGCACAGATATATGACAAGCAGGTAAGGTGTGAAGCAAAATGCTAATATCAAATGCTTTAGTTAAAAGAAAAAGATTGGTTTTTGGAGATAGGGTTTCCACTATGTAGCCCAGACTGGCATTGAACTCACTATCCTCCTGCCTCAGCTCCCTGAGTGCTGAATTACAGGTATGTACCACCATGCTAGGTACAAGTCTTTATATAAAGTTAGAGCTGACAATAGTCAGCAAGTCTTCCCAGTTACATATAGGAATATCTTTTCATATGATGATGTCTAGCATAAGGAATAATCAGTGGATTTTTTAAAAATGTGCTTGGAAATAGTACAGAATACATGTCATACATCCCCTCCCTATATTAGCAAGGAATAGAAATAGACCTTTTTTCACGAAATAGTAACTTCTTCATTGGAAAAATTTGTGGATTATAGTTGTCTTAAAAAGTGAAAAAGTTTAAATGTTAACTGGAAAATGGATTGTTTTCCTCTAGACTATACCACAAGATCACAGTGTCATCTAGTCCAATATATAACAGCATGTCTTGAATTCTATCCAGAATGTGTACACTATCATTTGAACATCTCAAGACATACGACCTCACTTGCCTATATCAAATAACTGACTTCCTATAGCACAGGAGGGACAATTTGCTGATAACAAAAGAATTGCCTGCCAGTAAGGAACCATATTAAGGCTGATAATTAAAATCAAGCCCTGGTAAATATTAACAATAATGATAACGATTTTCTCATGTGTAAAAAATGTTGCATAGACTTTAGTCTTATAAGATCCTAACGCTTTATAAAATATCATGCAGAATGTAAAGGCGTACTACCAAACTGATACTGCAGAAGGATTTTGAACTTAATGTGTAAATTAGACCACCTACAATAAGTTATTCTGTTCTTAGGTTAAGCACAACTCTAAAAGCCAATTCTTTGTGTGTGTGTGGAGGGGTGTATGCATGTGCATGTGTTTGTGTGTATTTAATGTACATGCACATATTTGCAGGTGTGTGGGAAGGTGAGAGGTTGACATCAACTGTCTACCTCAATTGCTGTTCACATTATTTAAAATTTTTTAAAATTTATTTTTATTATATGTGCATGAATGTTTTGCCTGCATGCATGTAAGTGTTGTACAATGTTTGGGAAGCCAGAAGAGGGCACTGGATCCCCTGGAACCAGAGTTATGGACTGTTGTTAGCCACCATGTGGGTGCGGGGAACTGAACCTGGGTTCTCTGCAGCTAGTGCTCTTAGCTGATAATCCATCTTTCCAGCCCCTCCACCTTATTTTTTGAGGCAGGGTCTTGTACTGAACCTGGAGCTCACTGGCAAGGCTGGCTAGCCAGAAAACCCTGTAGGATCTGCCTTTCTCCACCTTATCAGTGCTGGGGTTACAGCTGCACATTGTAGAGCCTTGTCTCTATTATGGGTGCTGGAGATGCAAACTCAGTTCCTCATGTATGCACAGCATGCACTTTGCCAACTGAGCCATTTCCCCAGCTCTATAAGCCAATTCTTTATAATTACACAGCACAGTGTTTGGTTGTAATTACCAAGATGTATTTGCAGACTCTACAATTAGTGGCATGGAAAAAAAGAGAAATCTACAAAGGTTGAACAAACCGCATGCACTGTGGTATTCTTTATTTAAGAACTGTGAGCTAACGACAGCTGTAGCGTTCTTGTTCACCATTCTGACGGCATAACAAAACTGAGAGAACAGTAAGACAATCGCAAGAAGGCATTAACCTGCAAACACATGTATACACCACTCATGTACATACACACACACAACATACACACGGAGTATAGTATAAACACAATTTAAAGTGATGAAAAACACTTTGCTCTAAATCAAATTAAACCCCTTTATTATCATAAACTGTGGAAATACTGTGGCTATAATGAAAAATATTGTAACTGTTTAAAAAGCAAAAAGGGAAAAATACTGGCAATTTGAAACTAGCAGCAAAAAGCAGCTAAAATAGAATTGAGGATAACAAGACTAAGTAATATCAACGTTCTAACGATGGAACTGTGTGTGTAGGACTGCACAGAAGTAATTTAAAATAGATTTTAAGGAACTATTAAAAAGTCCTTTGAAATGTTAGCTTGCTGCATTTTACAAACAGTGGAAAAGGAAAAAAAAAGTATTTGGAATGTTACACGCACACACACACAGAAGAAAGGAATATCAGTTTATGGTCTTTGTTTATGACCTTCAGAAAGTTTTACAAAGAAAAAACTTAAGTGCCAATGTAGTGAAAGAAAGTTAAAAATTCTAAAGATGCAAATAAAGATGCAAATCTGAGTGCATTGATCAGGTCTAAGGATATAGTTCAAGGTTGGGGGCAAGGCATGCTTGATGCACATTCAAGAAGGAAAATAATGGTGGACCCCATAAAGCAGGCTGAGCTCTTTGAAGAGTGCTGAGAATGATGTATTAAACTCAGACTGTCTGGAAGGAGATTCCAAAGTACACAGAGTTCTATAGCTGTTTGCCAGTTGAAATCAGTTTCATAGTGCCCAATAAATAATTAAAACTAACATTTCAGCAAACTGGGCTTCCTACATTCAGACACACAACTCTTGCACATGCAGGCTGATATTCTGTCAGCAGCATAAATCTGAATCCTGTTTTTTTTTTTTTTTTTTAAAGCACATTAGCCAGGATTTTTTTTCATGGTTTCTCATACAAATGTCTGAAGCTGCTAGACATTTTCAAAGAGGGATAAGTAGTTTCCTACTGACTTTAGAAGAAAGGAGATTTTACTTTCCTAAGGAAGCTAGAGTCATCTGTGAGCAGGGGGCCTGTCTTGGACTCTAAGAAGCATAATTAAGACTCTCAGTGCTCCAACTCATGACAAGTTTAGAACCATTCAACTGGCAGGTTGAATGGGGAGGAGACAGGAGAATTCAAATGTGTACAGTCTGCTTTGGAAGAAAGTGTGCCTGCTGAGCAGTTCGACTGCTTTCAGAATGAAACACTGCAGGACGGGAAAACTGGTTCTCTGAGCTCTCTGAGGCCTTCCATCTCCAGGGAATCTTTGGGCTGAGCTGCAGTAGGAGGCCCAGGGCCCTGATTGTGGCTTTACTTTTCATGAGTGCCTTCAGTTGGGAAATGGATGACTTTCTAGATAAGTATTTCTTTGGTTCTTTTCTATTTAAAAATCAATTCGTCTGACAAGTTGATGGTGATTTCCTCTAAATGAAATCTAGCTGCACTGGTGTCTTAACGTGCCAGCTAATTCAAATTAATGCCCATCAATGACGTTGCTAGGTATCAACTGATGTTGCTGATGAATCCACCCTCAAATGACCTAACTAGAGAATCTATCACACTAGAGTGCTTTTACTATCTTGAGTTTTTTTGAGCTCTAAAGAATCAGTCCTTTAAAATGACTTAGAAACTGTTTCGGTCTAGCTTTGCTTCACTCTTCCTCTTCTTCCTCTTCCCCTACCCCTTCTCCTTCTTCCATGGTTTCCACAATGAGCTCTGCAGTACAGGTGGCTTCTCCAAGGCTGTTGACAGCCTTGCAGGTGTACTTGGCATCGTCATCCCCACAGACGTCACTAATAATTAGAGAGCAGTTCCCGTCCTCATCGTAGTCTATCTGGAAGTGACGGGACTCCTTGATTGACTGGTCATCCTTAAACCAGACAACTTCAGGGTCTGGATAACCTGCATCACGGGAGAGAACACAGTTGCAGAATCCGTTATCAGAAGTTTTTATCAACTCAATCAAGAGACTCCTAAGCTACCTGTGTTGATTTATGGATCAAGGGAAAAAACATTAGGATGTTGGCTCTTAGGGTGTATTTTGATATTTATGTTAGTACGAGAATGTATTGTAAAGACTAATATATGAAACCTCAAATAGAATATTTTTGTTTGTTTGTTTGAGACAGGGTTTTGGTATGAAACTTAGGCTAACTTCCAACTTCAGGAAACCACCTCCACCACTTCAACCTCCGAAGTGCTGGGATTACAGGCATGTATCCTGAGTGTCAATTCCCATCTATGTTTGACTCTTACACCACCTCATCCTTAGTTAGATGGAAGTACTCCTGAAATATAGCTTTACTTCTAAACTATACAACTAAGGCTAAACATCTTCTTGATAATCAGAAAATGTATTAAAATTAAATGTATCAAAGCTTAAAGTTTAAATTAAAAGTTTTAAAAAATGGGTGTAAGGAATCTTTTGGGGATTGAAAATATCCTAAAATTGGATTGTGGTGGTATTTATATGATGCAAATTTGTGGAAAATAGTCCAACTGTAAACCTAAGAGGGGTTAATTTTATGGTATGCAAATTTTAACTTCACAAAACAGGTTACAGTTGTATAAAATATCAGATAGAAGAACTGACAGTGTTACTTGGAAAAAGAAAACCTGGGGCTGGAGAGCTGGCTCAGCCATTAAGAGCACTGGCTGATGTTGCAGAATACCTGGGTTTGAATCCCAGCACCCATATGGCAGCTAACAACCATCTCTAACTTCAGTTCCAGGAGATCTGATACCCTCTTCTGTCCTCCACAGGAACTGTATGACATGGGTATACTTACATACATGCAGGCATAACACTGATACACATAAAATAAAAATAAATAAAAAATTTATAAAAAAGAAAAAGAAAACCTGTCTTAGTCTGACCCCAAAGCACATAATCCACATAATCCATAGCTGGGAATGGATCCTATTGGGTGGCCGCATGCATTAGCCATATCTTTATAAAGTTCCGTGTTAAAAATATATGAAATGTGGGGCTGGAGAGATGACTCAGTGGTTAAGAGCACCTGAGGCTGCTCTTGCAGAGGACTTGGGTTAAATTCCCAGCACCCATATGGTGGCTAACAGTGAGTTCCAGGGGAATCCAACACCCTCTTCTGACTCTGTGGGCATTACAGACATGTGTGCACTTACACACATACAGGGAATACACTCAGACACATGAAATAAAAATAATAAACAAAATATTTAAAAATAATAAAATAGGGGCTGGAGAGATGGCTCAGCAGTTAAGAGCACTGGCTGCTTTTGCAGAGGACCCAGGTTTGATTCCCAGCACCCACATGGTGGCTATGAACCGTCCTTAACTCCAGTTCCAGGGGAATCCGAAGCCCTCTTCTGACCTCCGCATCATTGCACGACATGGGTGCACTCACATACATGTAGGCAATACACTCATACACATAAAATAAAAACAATAAATAAAAATTATCTTCACATAGATGGAACTGGTAAAAGAAAGGAGCCAGGGGCTCCTCCCAAACCCATGGGACCCCTGACGAACAGATCCTCTAATGACCTCAAGATTAAAAACAAATCAGCTTATCTGGTCCAATTGTATGTCCTTAAACACCCAAAAGGGAAGTATAACCTAAGATTAAAGGGCCCAACATAA